ACCACATGGTTTGTGTTACGATACAGACTTCAAGTCGGCAAGAGCCGCAATATGTAGGGAATGTTCAGTGTTCCACGTAGTCAAATACTCGGATATGGCCAGATTGGCGCACACACGTAATCGACCAGGTATGACCTTGACGATAAAGTGCGGAACATCTAAGCACCAATCGTAAACTAATATTCCTTGGTAGCCAATTGGGTTGTTTTCGCTTTCTTTTATTATTATATCTTAATATAATTTGCTTGGTCTAACAATCAGCCTGGTAGCTCGGTCCAATGCGGTTATAGCTGCAGTTGATGGAGCGTTATCAGCGGGGGCGAGAATTCCCTCTCTTCGCTGTGGGGTAACCGGCCTCGTACCTTTATTTTCTGCTTCGCACAGGCCTAGTGAAAGCAGGACAGTCAATTAGCGCTACAGGAAAAAGACGTGGCGAGATCCTTGCCGTGGGGTTACAACTTCCACAAGACAGCGGTGTGTATCGTAGATGACATGCGATATGAAAGCTGGACACTAACAAAAGCAATCGAAGAAACAAAACTGTTTTGTCGCGTCAAGTGTAGAACAACTTTTTCTTATCGCTTCAGGAAGACGACTTTTTAGGTGGGGGAGAACCGCGTTTGGTAAGTCCCGCAATGATATGCAACATATATACTTAGATCTCTTCTAAGCGACCAAACAAGAACCATATGTTGTTACCAACTGCCAATATTCGCTGCTAAGTTGTGCGAGCGACGGCAAGAATTTCGCAAGAACAGTATACATCTGGTATATACACTTAGATCTATTCCGATTTCGCAGCATGCAGATGGCGGTGCTGTTCTCTTTGATGAACACGCTCCTCTACATGTTCCCCGTGGCCTACCTGATGCTCCAGACCGGTGGCAAGTGACACGATCTGCTGCAGAGCGTACACGTCTTTATGAAGATAATACAACGAGTGGTATTAGTGCAGGGGACTCTAGCCGACGGGTCCCCGCGTTCCTTTTGTGCCCTTTCCGCTTTCTCGTCTTTCACATTTGCCCCAGTTTGTCGCGCTGCTAAGATGGAAAACGCGGGTTCGGATCCCGGCCGTGGCGGCCACATTCTGGTGGAGGCGACGTGCAAGAACACCCGTGTACATCCCCTCGTGGCCCCTGCCATCTGGTTCAGGAAGGATGTCCGGAATCATCCCTCACCCGCCTCCCTCCCGCCAGTTTTGATTTTGCTTGCGCATGACACGTTGAACATTCATAAAGTCAACTATTATATGTACTACAAGCTAACGTTGGCAAAATAGTATTTCGCTGTATATAGTAACGTCAGGAAAATAGCCGTTACCAGAATTTCTTTAAAAGCGAATACTCGCAAAAATTACGGAACATAATTGAACTCGTTAGTCGGCGACGCGACTGTAAAGAGAAATTCTCTTTGAAGACCGTGCAAGCCCCTGACACTGTAAATAATACCATGTTGTATAGAAATTTAGTTCTGGCAGCTCTACAATGCGTGGTCGCATTGACGTAGCCAGGGAAAAAAGGGGTTGGAGATTCAACCCTGCTCGCTCTGAATTTTTTCCTTCTGCATGTACAAACATACGTTTGCATACACACACAAAAAAAAACGCTCGAATTTGCATGAAGGGTGACTGACCATCTCCCACCCCTTCTTCCTGAAAAGGTTTCTGGCTATGGCCCTGCGTAGTTGGCAGGCTGGGGTTGATGACTGGATTGTTTGTCGTTGCTGTGTTCTCCAAGAGTAGTATGTAACCGCACTCGCAAATTATTATTTTTTGTTCATTATTCACTGCCTAAATGCAGATTTGCGGCACAGCGTCTACGATTTCGAGCATATCTAGGCTGCTCCACGTCGGGACAGGGAGGATGACAGTTAGCGAGCTGACTTCTCTGACATTTGTGAAGCTCCTATTTTATTCTGACACAGAAGTCTTTTAAAGTGTTTTACGCCGCGGTTCACCAAGTTTTGAATGACGTATTTCCGTCACGGAAATGACGTCGAAAAAGCCCATGATCAGGTGGCTAAGAAAACTTCCATCGATGGGCGTCGAACACATCACCTCTAGGTCAACGGCAGCAGATGCCGGGCATGCTATTCACTGCACAACGGTCACACTTGAAGGCTTTACAAACGCGCCATGTAGACTATTTTACCTAAGACATCTGGGCGCCGCCATCTTGAGCTGTTAAGCTGATGCTTTCTTGTTTTTGTAGATTGCTACGTGAATTATTGAGCCTACGAAACATCGTATGCAGCAACTCGACGAAGTCCATGTGTATGCGTCTACCGTAACACTGTTTGTTTAGCTGCTAAAGATGCAAAACACAAAGGTTAACAGCCCAACAAAGGTAACAGCCCAACAAAGGTAACAGCCCATGTGAGATAAGACCCAAAATGGTCTTATTTAAGACTTTGCTTTCGCAGTGCTCTTAGTAGAGCGGGTAGTGTTGCTCTCTTGCAGCAGTAAAGTGAAGTAATGCACGATGACCGTTGCCTCCATGATTAGCTCCTGCAACGCTCCCGTTCCATTCGGCGTGTTATAGTTTCTTGTTATACCAATTCCCATGACCGTCCATGTTTTCTACTGTGTGTTTCTGTTTGAAACAAGAAATCAGGTCTTGTGCACGAGATACATCATTTATCTGGTATTTTGCTCTTTGACAGGCACGTACTAAAAGTGACAAAGAAGTACCATTCCGATTTTGATGTGCTTTCACGTACGGGATCAAGTGCCATTCTAGCTGAACCTTGCTATAACAAATTAACATTGAAAACAGAGATTGCTTCGTTATACAAGATATTCGAGGTAGTACTAGAGATAATCGTCACTGCGGCTGGCGCAAAAATCCTAGATACAAGAACCCAATATTGTGGAATTCATATCCTCTAAAAGATAATCCTTACCAGTATCCGTGAGCATACGTTTTAGCTGGCCCCGCCGCGGTGGTCTAGTGGCTAAGGTACTTGGCTGCTGACCCGCAGGTCGCGGGTTCAAATCCCGGCTGCGGCGGCTGCATTTTCCGATGGAGGCGAAAATGTTGTAGGCCCGTGTGCTCAGATTTAGGTGCACGTTAAAAGAACCCCAGGTGGTCGAAATTTCCGGAGCCCTCGACTGCGGCGTCTCTCATAATCATATAGTGGTTTTGGGACGTTAAACCCCACATATCAATTATCAAAGTTTTAGCTGATTGAACCTGTGAAATGTGCTTTTATTTTAGCTGGACGAGCAAAATTTCCGCGACTTTGATAATCGCGTTCATAACCAAATTTTTGATGCTACGAACACGTTTAAAAAATTATGATTGTAGAATGGCTTTCAAATGTATTTTGCATTTTATGCCAGCTTTCGAGCCTCGCGTAAACCATTTTAGTTCTTCGTTACAGCCGATGTCAGGGCGGCTCTCGCGTATTCAGTAACGTTATCACGCGAACAAACGTCTCTGAAATGACGCGTGACCAACCAGTTTGTATTGTATTCGCTATAACCTATAAATCGCTATAACGAGGTTGATGTGTAATATAACTGTTTAGCGCAAGCAAAATTTAGACTCGCAGCTTTCCCCTCTTTGTGGCTCTTGAATGAATTTTGTGTGTGTGTGTGTGTGCGTGTGCACGTGTGTGTGTGATTGAATACAATTGGAAGGCACAGCTACACAAATCATCTTTGGTAGAGATGGCAACGGCTAGCCGTGGCCAGAGCAAAAGTATTTTCTTAGGTAGCTACAGACTAAGCAGCAGTCACCAGGAGAGGTGACGAAAATGTTTTATGGAGCTCAAACAAGTACAACACTTCCTTTTCAGCAAATGAAATTTAAGAAAATAAAGAGCTAGAATGTACGATTAATATACTACTAGAGTATTGGGTTTAGTAGCAGCCCCGTGCATCAAATCTACAGTTGCGCTTCTGACAATTGCAGATTTCACCAAACGAACTGGCCTCTTCGTAGAGACATCTTTGGCCACGACAGCTGTTTCATGGCCATGTCTCGCACGAGAGGCATACTTACCTCAAGCATCGCCGTGAAGCTGCCTAGGTTAAACAGAGCTTATGACCCCAAAGCTACTGCACTCATCCAACGCTTAAATAAGTTGTTCCTTGCCCATCCTAGAGTCCACCTCACCTTGGTCACCAAATGCAGGTCGGTCACCAAATGCAGGTCGGGAGGCCACCTAGCAACACTAACTTTCTTGCCTTTGCTAATTCAGACCATGAATGTCCGACGGGTGGAACAACCTTGTTAATTTTTAACACTCGCAGTTCCTTTTTGAAATGCCTCCAGGCCTTGAAAGCAGTTCAAGTACAAGATCCGTAGAGATCACAATCACTGGATCAGAGATTGAATGAACACAATTTGACTAAGGTTGCACGGTGGGCTTGTTGGTTGTTCATGTTGTTCGAGGTATAGCAGCATCCAGGACGGGACAGAGAAGAAGACACAGAATACATACACGGCGCTACACATACACGGAACATAATTTGCTGTTATAGCAATGGATAGCCAAAACTACCCATCTGTCACGATCGGCCATCATTTAGCCAACATTGCCTATGGTAATGAGTGCCGAAAGAGTGCAAGTAAATTAATGTACTTACTAAGATTTCCAAAAACAAACACCTCTGGTATCTGCCTCTATCTTCACTCAGAAGTCATAGTTCATCACAGAATGTGGGTGGATGCAGTTAAAGAAAAACAATATTCAATCAACCATTATCAGCCTGACTACACTGCAGGGAAAAGGCCTATCATGTGTTCTTCAATTAACCAAGTGCTGTGCTTTCTGCGGCTATGTTATGGCTGCAAACCTATGCCATCTTCAACCAATCTCACAAGAACGCGCTGATGTGCCCAACTGCTATGGCGATCAGACGTAACTGTGCACCAGTGGGCACCAGCGTCATATGATAAAGATACCATTAGTTTCACCTGCACACCGAACTTTCCACCTCCTCCTGGTATCAATCGATCAATACATAAATGTTTCTCGGCACATACAAGACCAGAAAAAATTTCTGAATATTTATTCGTGCCGTACGACACACGGTACGGCGGGGGGGAAACTGGCACCTCAACCGTAGGGAGGAGCCCATTAATTAATATTAAACACAGGCAGGTCTATGTACAGAGGAAGGCCCATTGCAGACCCCGGTGCGTCAGTGACTGGACGACTTGGAGTGCGAGATGAGCCACTGCAGCGTGATGTCTGCAAAAGAAATGGGTGCATGGATAACAAAATCAACCAGAAAATGATTTGTTGTAGAAGTCAAACAAGAAACAACTGCAAAACGAAAAACAGGAAAACAAGCTTTTTTTTATCATACTAAACTGCACATTTGACAGTAATAGGAATAGTAAAAACATCAGCCTACTATACTAAAACCTGATTACAATGAAGTCAGATCTGACTTTGTTATATCCCTTTTCATTCATCTTGTAATAAGCAATAATTTGTTATATGTGTGTTCATCGTATCAATATTTGAGTGCAATAATAAAATTGGATGCATCTTCCTTGCAGATCCTGTAGGTAGAAGGTTAATAAAATACGATATTGTGCACTAAAACCCACAAGAAACACATAAGAGTTTATTTCAAGAATTAAAAAGTGACAAATTTCCTTATCAGCCTTATCTTCCATACAATCACTATAAAGTGACTGTCACATATGTGTTGTGACAAATAGCCACAAAAATTCACAACTGCGCCTGCAGTTTTTTACAATTATGTGCGAGGCAAATATTCAGAGACTAATAAAGCAATGCCAATAGGTCTGTTAAAATAGATGGTGTGTTGGAATAGACTGTGTGTTCACTTAATTAATTAATGTGAAATGTGATTAATGTGAAATTTGAATGTGCAGAAAGTGATACAGCAATGCTAGTGGAAGCTCACCAATGTTGTCACGCTCCTTGCAGGAAATCGAATAGCAGCAAATTTCACGATCTTGAATGGCTGACAGGTTCCTGAAATGAAACAATTCCCCTTCATCAACATAGTCAATTAAAAAGTGGCACCCTTTATTTTTGGCTGCAGTAGTACTCCTTAAACAGCCTTAATCATTCCTGGACCATCAAAGCCACAAAGAAGTGATCTCGGATGAGCCCAAGTATGCACACTGAAAAAATACCAACAATTTGAGTCTGATGTTTCTTTACTATGAAAACCGACCAACCCCCCCCATATCATGGAAACTACAATTTCACTGTTGATGTGCTTCAAGAAAGGATAGCAGACAAACATTGAGTTGGCTTTTATGCAATTCATGCCACATAATGAATATGCGGCAATGTTGCAAACTGGCAAATATGCATGGGTGCAAGGGCTATGTAAAATGGCGATATGTTCCTTTTTGAATCCCCAGTTTTGCCTGAAATACTGTTGTGCCTGGTACATTACCTAGCCAGTGTTGACTGCTTCACCCCATTGTTTCGTTGCACAGATAACTATACCTTCTGCCTCCAAATTTCGTGCTATGACGTTGCAACCACGCTCCAAAGGTGCGTAATATACTAAGCCACATCAATACTGCACCAATATGTTGAAATACTAGCTTCTTCCAAAAGTCATGGTTACTAATTAAAGTTATTACTACATATATATTTCCATTGATCTATTCATCAATACAGCAGGCCAATATGATGGCGAACGCATACAATGACAAAGTATTCACAAGAGATTGACAATGAAAGAAGAAAAACGATATGTACATAAAGAAGATACAACCTATACTATAAGCCATATAATTCCTTCGGAGAGTGCAATTTGCTGTCAAATAATATTTCCTGCCTTTCTTTTAGGACTTCTATTGCTTAACCTTTGCTTTATGCTTGAACTGTCCCTGGCTAATTCTAATATTTTCAGTTCCTTGAAGTAGCGGGACAGAATGACATGGACATGAGCACTATGTATTGGTGTGTTACTTCATATTTTCATGCCAGTACTAGCCAAAATGTCCGATCTTACTTAAAACATTTCATGTAAATGCACACATTGTGTTTTAAGTGCAATCAGATTCAACAGTGCCAAACTGTCAAAAACGGCAGTGCTACATGCTGTGGGCACATCACAGGATAAATAAATAAAGGGCAACTCTGTGCTCCAGGCCTTTCATACACCCTATGTTGGCCATGGTATCACCAGGAGACTCTGGTCATGCCAGCATAATTAGGAACCAGCTCGATTGCCTGCACGTACACAGTGCTCCCTGCTTGTCCTCCTCACAAGGCGAAGAGGACAGCTAAGTATGCAGTGTTCAACATTTTTAGTGCTCGTTTTTCTTTTACAATGTACCGGTGTTAAAAGCCCAGCAGCTTTGAGAGATTACTGAAATTGCTACAGCTGCTTCATCAGTTTTAGAGAAAACACAACATCACGATACAATTACGCCAGCTGGGTACACATGTTCGTTTCAGAAATTGATTTCAAGGTGTGAGTTTTTTAACTTTGCATGAGTAAAAAAAAAAAAAAACTTGTATAAACAGAATGGCTGCCATGGCAGGGATGTGTGTCCCCCCTCCCCCTTGTGATATTTCTGGATTTACGCCACTGCGGTGCAGTAGCATACATTCGGCAAGGAAAAGGCGGACCGGAAAGAAACAACAATACCTTGATGAAAAGTGTGCTACTTCATCATACGCTATAACGATAAGCCACCGACTAACGCTAGCTTTCAGCCCTAGTTGCGCTCCACCATTACGACACTACTTCTGAAATTTCTCTAGGCCACATACTTGCTATAGACTCGTGCACAACTGCAACACCACAGATGAATTTCGACCTGTTTGGGTGGTTTAGGAGCCCTCTAACATTGATTATAGCGCAACAATATGTGGGACACTGTAGTGAAGGGTTCTGGAAATTTCAAAGACATGATGATTTTTTAATGTCCACCTCAATTTAAGTAAACAGGCCTTAACCCTTTCAGATACCGTCCATAATGAACTGTCTGTACATGTTTTAAATCAATGCATTATTTATATTCAGTCAAATATTCTATTGCAAAAAAAACAATGCCATAATAATGATTACTTTATGCGTGTCATAACAAGTAGTCCTAATTAGGTTGTAAGTAAATATAATTATCCTAAAGTAATTGATACTCTGTTTCGGCATAAATAGAATGAAATCTTAGACTAGAAATGTAGTGCAAGTTCATTCTTGGTAGCGTCCACTTTCAGCAAATAAAAATTGAACTTTTCACATGGCTCGGAGAAAGCGTCTCGTCAAGCGACTCATAGAACATGCAAGTGCCTTCAGCAAAGTGACAATGTGCAACAGTACACTGCAAAATGAAGTTAAATTAGGACGAATTTATTGTGTAAGAGGTTTAATTTATCCAAAGCATGATATACACCTTTCTTCCTTAGCTCCTAATTGACACAAATAGCAAGAACGAAACTGTGTACTCAATTGTGTGCATACCATCTGAAACTGTCAAGTTGAATCTAGTGCGCACTAAGCTTCCCCTGTGCGATAATAAAAAAATTGGCGCCTGCAGAAAACCGTGAGTAAGTAAACAGGCTCACATCTGGTCAATGAGCTCTCGCTCGTCCAGGGCTCCTGGTAGGTCATCGCTTGTTGCCCAGAACAAGCACGGGAATGCCCGCCAGCTGGGGCTTGTCCAGCAGCTGATGCAGCTCATTGCGGCTTGCCTCCATCTTCTCTCGATCGTGCGCATCGACCATGTACACAATAGCGTTGACACCACGGCAGTACCGCTCCCACATGCTTCGGAACCGCGGTTGGCCACCAATGTCCCAGATCTGTATAACCACACAACCACATTGCCTGCTTACGTTTCTGCAGATTAAACGTGATAATCCTTTCAAAATGGCACTTAGCCAGGCGCCCTTGAGCTGACAGTGCAAAATCACAAGACGGATTATGGGCGCACACGAAACATTGCCTGTGCTGTGCATACCTTTTATGTAAATGCCACAATAATAATTCTTGGGGTTTATTGTTCTAAAACCATAATTCGATTACGAGTTGCTGTCGTGGTGTACTCCCCAAATTTCAACCATATGCGATTCTTTAACGTGCGCCTAAATCTAAGTACACGAGCATCAAGCATTATCGCCTTCATTGAAATCACGGTTGGCGATTTGAAGCGCCATTTCCACTTTGTGCACAGTAAATGTGATAGGGTTATGATCCTTATTTTTTTCAGTAGATGCATTAGCTGTATCAGAAGTCCATAAATCATGAACGTTGCATCCACGCATATATAGAAAAGATGGGCGTGCCCTATTGGAGCAGTGATTATAGTAGCAGGTTTCGCAACTTGCACAGTCAACTGACAGCAACCTAGAAAGTTGGGCTGCCACATAATTAAACCTGATAACTTTTGACTCTGCTTGCATCTATTGCCACTGCCACGACGTACTTCAATGTTCACTCACTCAAGAGCATCCGCTCAAGGTGGTTTCCCTGATCTCCCGAACTTGTCCCTGCCATTCAACTCTGGAACTAAAATCACGATCAGCCTGTCATGTCCATTTCAGAATAAATGCCATTCCTGGCTATCTCAACGGCAAACTATTATTTTTGTTGTCTTATGACACCAAATTGTTTCTCCACTATACATAACTCATATTTATGCCACTGTGATTGCCATCTTCAGGTACTACCTGGTTGACATGGGTGAACTCTTGCTCGAATGTGCGGAGGAAGAAACAGACATGAAAATAGTGCCGGTGCCCCCTCCAATTTTCTGTTCTCCCTTGGTGCGGCTATCGAATTGAAAAAAGCAGGGAGTGCACGAAAGAATGCGGCGAGCGAGCAACTCTGTCCCACCGGGCACAGACACCGAGGTAAGTCAATGTGGCCGCCATCTACAGGTACCCAAGCACAGAGAACATGTCTGTGATGTCTGATGTAAGGTATGTATATGTTCCCTTTGCACCCTTATTGTAGCTCTAAACATATTGCCAATTCATCTACTCCAGTACGACATGACCAACTCATTCAAGCTTTATCTTAGTAGTATATTCTACTGTCTAATCACTTAGCAGCAATGTCTTTCGTGCCACTGCCCTCTTCCTCATGCGTATAATATTCCAGGCTATAAAAGCAGGTTCACATAATATTGAAGAATAATGGACCACAAATCTTTCTTACCAGTCTTACACGCTTCCCCTATCACAGATGTAGACATTTTACAACACACTCTACATAACATTTCCAATTTCAATTGTCCTCAACTAGCCTTCCAACAGTTATTTAACTGCCAAAGATGTAAGCTAGCTTAAAGAGCCAGTCAACTAACTCAAACTTTCTTTTTACTTGTTATGTAAATTATTGATGAAATGATACTACTTAACTACAGAAGTTTTGTTTCAACTTGTACAATACACAGTGCATATACCTAACACATCTCATACTCATAGTAAATGTACGAGATGCATTTACAATAGGACAAGCTACACAGACAGACATGCTCTGAACAATATTTACAAAAGAACTTTTACAATAAAACAGCATAATTTTTCCCACTTGATCAACCTTGTGTACCAACAATGGCTAAAGTAAACCCCACATACTACAAGGCTTCGTGGCAGAAAAAGAAACCATAACAAGCAATTAAAAAAGAAGCCCTTGTCAAAGCCAACAGTCAGTTCCGCCAGAAAGCACACGAAGAACAATAGAGCAATCTGACATACATTACACGTCAACGGTTTCTGCTGTCTCCTGCAAAGTGTGCGCAAAATAAGTAAACTTGCAAAATGACATCGCAAAGACTGCAAGAGTGTGGAGGTGCTAAAAAGCTGTCGACATCTAACATTCACAGAAAATGTACCAACATTACGGAAGCTTCTCATTACAATGTCATGCATTTGCGGCCGGCAAAAGCAAATGTGCTGCCAGCAATAAATTTTACAGCATGGGATAACACCCAGGGGATCAAGTATATCTCTCATGTGGCATCCTTAGATAACACAGTGATGGCTGGTACTCATGCGAATGCCTCCCAATGGTTTGGCTGCAGATTGCACTGTTAGCAAGTATCTTTTCAAACAAAGCCCGCGAGGCGTTATCCGGTGTCGCTTTATCTCGGGAGTGTGATAGTGGACGGAATAAATAGTAATCTGCAGCGCTTGACTTTTTCAAGACTTGTCTTTTCTTGTGCCCGAGCCCTAAGTCGATGAAAACAAAACTTACGCAACAACGCAGAAACGAGTAGCACCCTAGCCTATTTGAGTCGGTGCAATGGCCACGACATTGCCACATTCCTTTATTGCAGTTTTTTTTTTTTTTTTTTCAGGCTTGCGGTCTGGCGGAACGGACAGTCTAGCAGTAAAGACTGTTTCCGCGTGCTAGCCGGCGCCGGGTCACGACAGTTTTTTTGACGTTGCGCTGCTAAAAAAAAAAAAAAAAAGATGCGACTACGGAGACCACCGACAAAAACCTAGCTTTCTTGCCCGTCGCTCCGTGTTTTGTCTACTACACAATAAACGTCAAATACTGCTGCATATTTAATGGCTCAACAATTGCTTTGCCTTAGGAAGACCTAATCTGAAACGGGGATCTTGTTCCTTCATTTGACGCCTGAAAAGCGCCGACCAGCCGTTGCGCATAGTCACAATAGACGTCATGTGTCACGGGAACAACTAGACAACAGCTGAGTAAGGACGGCACAAATTCAACTCATAACACCTGCGTAGTAGAAAGTAGGCGTATTTAATGTTGGACGCAAAAGCCCCGAACATCACTTGATTTGGGGTTCACCTGGTGAAAACATATCGGCGGCGATAAATGCAAAGTAACAGCAAGGCAGGTAGACAATGCGCGAGTTTTCGCTCGTCTCAGATAAGGGTAGCAGCGGTGCTCCTACCTTGATAGTGACGTTCCCTTTGGTCACCTTGCGCATGTTGAAGCCCACGGTGGGGATCATATCCTCGCAGAACTGGCCCGACTGCAAAGGCAAAGCTTCGGATCAGGTGGCTCAACAAGAGTGGCACCCCCCCACTACCACTATGGCCATGGCGGCAGTCAGCTTACGGCAATGACGTTCACGAAGGTGGTCTTGCCCGAGTACTGGAGGCCGACGAGCGTGAGCTCCATCTCCTCCTTCCAGAAAAGGCTCTTGAACCAGTCCAGGATGCGGTTGATGAGGGACATCATCTTGATGGCGGGCGGTGCTACAGGCCACAGATCACAAGCGGCACGGCGGCGATGACACACACACCGCGGCGAAACCCAGCAGTCGCCGCCCACGACCGAAACCGTCAGGGCGCGCTAGCCGGCGCTAGCGATGACGCCAACGACGCGTTTGGCAAGAGGACGCTACGGTCGCTTGCGCTTTGAAGTATAGCATTATCACCATCATCAGTTTCGCTCTTGTACTGTTGCGCCAGCTCTACGAAGCTGAAGGAACCAAAAAGATCACTAGCCTCGACGGCCGATTTAGCTGCGTCAGCTGGCAACATGTTTATCCGGCCACCGGTGGACGTCGTCTTCGCGGTCTTCTGGTTTTGATTCTCCTCCGTGAGTTTCTGAACGTGTGTGGACGGGCGCATCGTGGGAGCGAAAACGAGAACAAGATGTCAGCGTCCGCAGGCCAGTGGCAAGTCGTGAGCAGCAAGTCGAGCAAGAACAAGTCGTCGGCCGGAGGCGGCGCCGACGGCAAGATGTCCAAGGCTCAGAAGAAGAAACTGGCCGAGAACATGCCGCGAATCGAGCCCCTAGGTAAGTCCACGTCACCCACGTGCGACTTCCACGCGACCGCCGCGCTGGCCCGTGCCCCCGTGACCCCCTGCAGAGCGCTGCGCTCAAATTCAATCGCCGCTCTGGCCGTCGCGTTGGTGAATAACGTCATTGTTGACTTCCCGAAATGCCGGTCACCCCGTCAAATGATGCAGCTTGCCTTGGCACCCGTTAATGTCGCAGATTTCCTAAACCAAGTTGGACAGCGCGTTGACAGATGCAGTCAGGCGCTTCTGCAAAAGACAGATGGGGGATGAATGTGCTCCACATTTAGAGGCTCGGTAATTAAACAAGTCAGCTAGTTTCGCATTCATCGATTGCATACTTTTCCTGCCGCACCCGAGTAACGTAGTGGGACCACAATGCAGTACTCGTTTCCTGAAATGAACGACTGTACGTTTGGCGAGCAGTGCTTGTCGACGCTCTGTGCACAGACTTGAACGTAAGCTGCTGGGATATCACGCTACGAAGCATTTCTGTGGTAGAACGTAGCACAATAAAGTTACGATGGTAAAAACAAACACCATGGCAGTAGGTGAGGAATGATGTGATATTTAGGTCAATGTTTCTGTATCATATGCATGCAATTGAGAAGTCATCTAACGTTTCGCTGCCCATTTCTTCGCATTATTTGTTCCCATGTTTCAATTATATCCTGTGTTGCATTTTTGTCGTAGTATTTAAGTCTTTGAAAAGGCTGCGAGTACATAAAGAGTATCGCAGCAAGCTTTTCATAAATAATAGCACTTTCATAATAGCATTTGCTGTTATATATAGTTCTTAATTAAACTTTCCTCTGGTAGCAAGCATAGCCTTGCCAGTACCCCCGTTTATATAACAGACAATGATACCAAGGAAAGGGAGCATGCCATTGTCTGTTATATCTCTTTAATAATGTGTAAAAACACGGAAAAACGAGCCCTTAGGTATACATTTCTTTCCTTTATATATATATATATATATATATATATATATATATATATATATATATATATATATATATATATATATATATATATATATATATATATATATATATATATATATATATTATATATATATATATATATATATATAAAGGCCCGTGTGCTCAGATTTGGGGGCACGTTAAAGAACCCCAGGTGGTCGAAATTTCCGGAGCCCTCCACTACAGCGTCTCTCATAATCATAAGGTGGTTTTGGGACGTTAAACCCCACATATCAATCAATCATATATATGTATGTGTGTGTGTGTGTCGCACTGTAAAAAGGTGACACAACCGATATGTCATACTTTGACATGATCACTGCAGTGGCACCAGATGATGTCAAACTGGTACCAGGCAAAATTAACATGCAGTCATCTTCTCTTTTGAATAATGGAAGTTTATTAATTGCCCCAAACTATTATATTACACCAGCATTTCAATTGTAAGTACACTCTGGAGTCATATTATTCTCCAGGATGCATAAAAAAAAAAACGATTCCAGTGTAGTGAACCACAACACCTCTGCCACAAAGCTTGAGGATCCTGGAATTATTAGAAATCAATGTTAGCATGTCGCCTGGACTCGTAAATTCCCTTTAATAATGGACCAGGTGAGCATATTCAGTATCGGGGAAAAAAAAAGTGTAACTGTGACTTTACGTTGTTTTAAGTTTGCACACTTGTTTTATTTTATTCTCATCAGCTTACTTTCAAATTCTCTACCCAAATCTGTCCACCAAGAACCTCCTCGCTGCATTGAAAAAAAAACCATCCATTGAAAAAATAACCGCTGGACGTTGCTATGGGGCATGGCGTGAGTAGTTCAAAAGTTCAATTTTTGCCTCGTTAAACTGGACAGGTCGTGCTATCTAGCAGGGCCCAGTTGAACCGAACACGCCTGTCATCACGGAGGCCATGGCAGAAAATTTTTCAATGGCCGTTCTTGCTGCTGTGTCTCCCGCTACTTTCGTTCTGCTGCTACTAGTGTCAGTGACCGCGCCGTAATGCCGGACAACGTTGTGCGCGACAACAATGACGTGAGGCGTTCTGCTTAAGGCGGGTAATTTGAAGTGTGCTAACCCGATTTGGACCACTAAAACGGGATTTTATTTAAAAATAAGGGCTTCTTTGGCACAAGAACAAGACTTTCTGAGCTGCTATTTTAACAATCAGTGTCAACTTTATAGTTGCCTAGGGTCCCTTTATCATCATATATCGCATGGCAGAAGTGTAAAATCACACTAGGTGTCTAAAGATGTGAACTGAGCAATGAGTGGATTCTTTGAAGGCCCACCCAGTACACAGTGCTCAGACATATTTAATTATGACCAGTAACAGAACCATCGAAGTGAACGGCTTCATAGGTTTGTGTGTTGCCCTACAAGCAGCATAGTGGGCACTTCATTGATTCGTAAAAGAAATAATTATGGCAGTAGTGGGCACTTCACGACTCTGCTTGCAAGTAAGCGGTCAATGATACTTTGAAATGGCCAATGTTATGAGCACAGTGTTCGTTATCTTCTGACATGGCTGAGGCATGCACTGAAAACCGAAGCAGGCTAGCCGTTCAGAAGGTTATGTGCACGAGGCCCAATTTAGCTATCGCAAGATAGGTAAAGCTCAAGCGTCCTCCGTTTTTTTTTTTTTTTTACTTTGCAATATGAAGAAGTTGCAAAAGTGCCTTGCTCACTGCGCTTGAAACAGTGCTGTCTCATGGAAAAAAGTTAATGAAAAAGCATAGAAGGAGGAAATTAAAGCAAAAAGAAAAAGGATGAACTGAATGCCTGATTACTATGCCACAGTGAATGTGCAGTGCAGACGAAACTACAGCACCACAGCCATACAAACATTTTCGGCCCAAACGCTGTGTAGGCCCAATACTGAAGCACGTGTAGGTATGATACTGCAGTCATGTGTAGCTCCAGTACTGAAGTCAGGTGTAGAACTAATAGTGAAGTGATGTGTAGGTATGACGCTGATGTGTAGGCTGAATATTAAAGTCAATGTCGATCCGATACTGAAATCACGTTCATGTAGGAAACAAGTCATGTGTAGTTTTAATACTGAAGTCATTTTTATGCTAGGCACTGGTAATGTGTAGTTTCAATACTGAAGTCGTGTGCACACCATATACTCAAACCATATGTACCCCTGATACCTAAGTCTTGTACATCCAGTACTGAAGTTATATGTAGGTCTGCTACTTCAGGTAAAAGAGCAAAGGCAGTGGCTGGCTGGCTGCTTCACGTAATGCCCTTTCTTAGCTTGTTTCGCTCCACGACTATTTCTGTCTTTTTTTGGGGGGGGGGGGGGGGGGGCTACTGTGCACAATCAGTGTCACTGTTGGGTAAAATGTAAGGACGACTGTAGGCCATCCATATCGAATGCTTTCTTCGTGTTTTGCACATGCAGCCCCGCTGAAAGAGAGCTCCACACTGTACGAAGCACTTCAAGAAAAGGAGGAGCAGAAGAAACCCGCTGCCCCACCTCCCAAGCCTGCTAAGAAGCCACCAAAGAAGAAGACGAAAGAAGCCGGTGCACAGCGGCCCACAAGCCTCAGTGTCCTGCTCAAACAGGTGCTCAAAAGCTTCTGAGGGCTTTGCAATGCATTCTAGTAATGCAGAAGAAACATGGCACAAATACTCACAACACTTACATGCTTTTTCGTGCCTTGTGCTTATTGTTCATGTTTGCGCTAATTAAATATGTTTCAACACTGTGCCGGTGAGCCTGCCGTCCAGTCTTGTTGACTAATTTTGCTACGTTTTGTTTAGCAGTGCCTAACCCATACACAGCCACAACCCGATGATAAATGTCAGCTGTGCCCACAGTCATTTCTGTTCCTGATACAGAGAACTTGCATAAGTGCTCCATTCCATTAGACCTTACTTGTTTTTGAAATTTCTCATGAAGACCTACATTACTGGTGCTGGTTTTATCCTCTTGAACGTCCTGGTAAATTTCGTCAGGCATTCTAACATCGCTGCTCAACTAAAAATAAAGTCTTATGTAGTAACTACGAATGTTACCTCTAAATATGCATAGTATTTACATTAGCTGAGAAGAGGTAGTTATGGCTTGAATGGAAACCAGCTGGCATGATGAATGGCAGTTGCACTGTGGTTCTGTGGCTGGAGCTGTCATTACTTGTTAGGTTGTAACGGAGTATAATTGAGAGCTTACTTATTCATGAGATACTAGCAGTGTACAATCTATTTTATGTAGTCGTATCACGAGAGAGCTTACTTGACCTAGAAAAAGACAGCACTGAAAACAGCACTACACAGTAATAGCACAGAGTAGTGCACTGACCACCGTTTTGAAGGTCTATTCATGAAAGCCAGCTTTTAAAAGCCTAGAAGGTTGCAAGGTGGCCTCACACACTTAGAAAAAAAAAAAAAAAAAACCCAGGGTATAGATGTTGCGCTGTCTTGTGTCCTTATTGTCCTTCTGTTTCCTTAGTGTACTTATTATTCAGTGCCGTATTGAGTGCTGCCTGTCTCGAAGTCACGTACCAACTATACCTAGTTCATCATATCACATAATTTAAGTCGCTGTTAGTTGATCA